GATTGATCAATATTGCATGTCTCTAACTGTTTTCATGAGAAACCACCTTGAAGATATCAATATGTAATACAACAAGCATTGTTAATTTCCTACCACTTGGTTTGTAACTCTGTATTGTCTATACTGTTCTTTTGCTATTTTGTAAAAGGTTGTCTGTCTGTTAACGTTTTCCTCCTTTTAATTTTAAAATTAAAAAAAGTAAAAAAAAAAAAAAAGAGAGAGAGACAGATGGTGAATGAGGAGGGCGGTCCCCATGCTGAGGGTTAAGGGTCACAATGAGGACACTTTCCCAGGTCAAGTCATTCCTGCAGGAGTGGACCTGGACATCATGAGGACAAACCCTCGCGTGCACCTACAGCCAGGGCCTTCCCGGGGTACAGGGTACTTCCAGAGGACAGTACCTGGTGTAGCCTGCAATGCGCACCCTGGCCTTCTGTCCAGACCAGGCACACAGGCACCACAGTGGGGTGAAAGGGTTACAGCTGGCCTATTTTTGGGTCTTAAGATCATTCCAAGCTGGACATGATGGCACATGTCTATAATCCCAACACTCTGGGAGGCTGAGGAAGGGGGGTCACAGGTTCCAGCCCCCAAGTTAGTGAGACCCTGCCTCAAAAAATAAAAAATAAAAAGGGCTGTGGTGTAGCTTTATGCAAAGGTCCTGCATTTCATCCCTAATACCTCAAAAAAAAGTCATTCTGTGTTTGTCACTGAACAAGCCAAGCACTGTTCTTGGAAAGCAGAGGCGTGCCTGCACAAAATGAGGTCTGAAAAGTAGGTCTGTGCCACAGCGTATGCTTAGCATGCACAAGGCCCTGGGTTGCATCTCTAGCGTGCGCACGCATACAGGACCAGAGCAGCAACGTTTGGGAATGTTCTGACACATCATGTACCCAACACCATTCTGCCTTTTCCTTTTTATAGGCTGGGACCCAGGGTCCTCTGCTTCCAGCTCTTCCCTGAACCCCACTTCTCACAGGAAGTATGAGCTTTCTTTGTAAGCTTTCCTTTTGGGCTCGGACCCTGGGCCTAGACAGCATCAACACATTTCAAAGCCATGGGTGAGGGGTAGCATGGGGGGTGGGCCGGGGGGTGGCTCCATGGAGAGCTCCTGCCCAGCGTACATGAGCCCCACATTTAATCCAAAGCACTGAAAACAGAACAAGAAAACAAGCCCTGGGAGGTGGGACAGTCCTGAATTTTCCTCCTAACTTAGCAGCCCAATCTTTCTTTTCAAATTCTGCCCCCTCTCCTTTCAGGCAAAAAGAAAGAAAGAAAAAAAAAGGTCAGGCCAGCATTCCAGGCAGCCGCCAGCACTATCCCTAGTTACACTCAAATCTGGCCACAAGAATGATCAGGAAACTAGCAAGCAGTTTAGGCCTGGAAGCAATGTCCCAACCCCTCCACTGAAAAGTGAACTTCTGAGTCTGCATCTTACTAGTGGATTTTTTAAATATAAACTTCCTCAGTTCCGCGGAAATACTGAGTTCCCCAGTTCTAGATGTGCACAAATACCAGGGAGCACTGAGGAAGTGGGTTATCCAGGCAGAAGGGAGGGGACCTTGTCTTGCCTTGCCTCTGTATCGATCCTTCACCTCTCCCCACCCTGTAAGCAAAACCTTGCACACTTCCTGGAGGAGCCCAGACCGATTGTGAACACAAGCTGAAGAGGCTGTGCTAGGTGGTGAACTGCCGTGGAGTCTTCTAAGATCCCAACATGCCGCCGAGAGAGCACAAACTCTGAGTCAGTATCACAGCCTCCCCTGCTGGAAACCCAATTTTTCTTTCCGGACTCTGGCAGCCCCTGCACCTGGCTTCTGTTTCTCAATTTGCAAACTTGTGACACTGTGACATCCAGGACCTGTTTTCAAACAGGTTTCTAAAGTTCTGCACTGACCTTTGGGGCTACTCTGCGCATTATAGGACGTCTGGCAGCAGCCCTGGCCTCCTGATACCCCTGGGACCTTCTCTCCAAAACTGTCTCAAACACTTGGAGGTGAAGGTGACCCCTGAAGAGTTCTCTGTGCACCATCTATGCACATGGGGTTATCTGCACCTTGAAAATTAGGAAATTCAGGCAGCTACCGTAAGAATGGCCCAGCAGGGATTTTTTTGTTGCTGTTGTTTGGTTTCATTATCCCCATTTTTCTCAAATCTCAAAGGCAGGGTTTCTCAACTCCTTACTGTTCACATCTGGAGCCAAAAAATTCTTGGGGTGGGGGTGGGGGTGAGTCAGCCCTGAGCTCTACAGGATGTGGCGCTGCATTAGAAGCCAGCAGCACCACATCAAGCTGTAACAACCAACACTTCCCTAGACACTGTCAGTGTCCTCTTCGGGGCAGAACTGGCCCTGGTGAGACCCATACCCTATAGTAAGATAAATGTCCCTCAATACTTTTGTGGATGGAAGGAAGCATGTCTGCGTTAGGCCAGATAAACTGCCACCAGTTGAGACCACTGGTTTAAAGCCTGCTGCCGGGTCACAGGGTGAGAACCCAGGCATGTCAGCTGTCACCGAACAAGGGGAGGCTTCTCTTTTCTCCAGGGCACTGCATTCTGAGGGCTCGGGAGAGGACAAGAGGTGTGACTGAGGAGGAGGAAGAAAGAAAGAGAGGGACAGACCCAGCCATATGAACAAGCAGATGTGGGGGAACTGGCAAGGGTTACAGAAGAGGATGGAACGCAGCCAGGGTGATTCCGGCAGCACAGCGCGACAGAGAACTGGTGGAGAGGCCAAGACAACAGCTCAGGACGCTGTGGCTATGGCACTCATTCTTTGGGACAGAGCCTCAGAGCCTGCAAACAGCAGACGATCCTAACTGCCAGCTCACACTGGGCTGTGCTTTCCAAACTTTGGGGCACTATCCACAGCTCAGTGCAGGCCCCAAAGAAAAAACAGGTCTTAATGGGCAGCCCATGAGACCAAGCAGGTCCCTCAGGTAGCGTGTGTGCTGTGTACTGCATGGGCCACCAACAGGCCTGACACTGGGTGTGGGAAGCAGAGGACCTCCACAAACCTCACTATAAGAGAGAAACGAGGGGTGCAAATTCTCCCATGGCCTCTGGTGACATGTTTCCCACTGGAAGGGCTGTGCCAGAGTCCCAGCAAGTGACCCACGTCCCGGGGGTGTAGAATCTCCTGCCTGCTGGTGAAAACCCACTTGGTTCCATCCTGCAGGGGCAAAGGGGCGTAGTCTCAGCAATAATCCTAAAATTACTCTGGATCAAATCTCTCTTCCCCGGGGGTTTAGTCATCCTCTGGTTGTCTAGCAATAGACCCCAGATATCCTTATTTTAGATAACCGCCAGGTCATTGCTTCTTCCCTCCAGAGGCAAGACACCGGCTGCATGTTACTGAGAACATGCAAGGGGCCTCTCCAAATTGTGGGTACAGCCCTACTGGTCAGCACAGCCCAAATAATTCCTGAGATCATTGCTCATTCCTCTGTGGAATCTATGTACACAAACTCCACACCCAAGGTCTTTAACCTGGGATGTACAAGCCAATAGGAATCAAGGCATCTGGGGCTGCTTGGATCTGAAACTTAAAACTAAATTTGACACTCGCCCAGTGTTCTGGAGAGTGTACCCTGGACTTTCCAAAAACTGTTATTTGTCACATGGAAAAGACAGTCTTAGACTCAGCATTCTACTTCTGGGAATTTATACTCTAAAACCAATCCACTTATGAGCCAATATTCACTGGCTATTCACCGTGGAACTGTTTGTGGCAGAAAGTTATTGGAAACAGCTAAACATCTATCAGTAGGCAACTGGCTAAACAAATGATGGTACATTCAGTGAAATGGACTATGATACACCCTAATGCAACTAGCAGTGCTAACCTGTAGTTCCAGCCACTTCAGAGGCTGAGGCAGAAAGATCCCTTGAATCCAGGATTCTGAGGCCAGGCTGAGCAACATAACAAGATCCCCATCTCATAAAAAAAAAAAAAAATTTCAAGAAGCTCTAGGAGTATGGTCTAACACAGAAGTTCTGGGGAGAGAAGGAAAGAAGAAAGGATTCTACCCACAGGGGACACTGTGATGTCTCTCAGGACATCTCTGGCTGTCAAGACATAAGGGCAGCTCCTGGAATGGAGCAGGTGGAAACTAGGGATGCTGATCCACGTTCTGCAGCACCCAAAAGTGCAGCCCCACTCCCGAAAATGGTCTGTCAAATGTCAACACTGCTGGGATGAAGAATCCAACTCCAGCGTGACCTCCAAGACACATTTAACAAAAAAACACAAAGTACAGTACACAGGATTACATAGTGTCCGCTCACTGCCTCCATTTATGTTTAAAGGAGGGGAGATCTGTGCATAGTGGCACACTCGTGTAATCCCAGCACTCGGGAGGCTGAGGCAGGAGGATTGATGTGAGTTCAAGGCCAGTCTGGTCTACAACGTGAGTTCAAGGCCAGCCTGAACTGCATACCGAAACCCTGTCTCAAAACGACCAAAAAAATAAAGGTAAGGTGTATGGATATTTTGGGGCAGGGACATTAGGGGTCGGTGACAGTCCGCGTCTAGCAAGAGCGGAAGGATGGGGGTGTGGAAACTGACTTTTCTCTCTCTACCAGGTCAACTTTGTACCTTGTCCATCAAGAGGATTTTGAAAACCTTGCTATAGACACAAATCTTCCTTGCCCCTGAGCTATCTGGCAAGAGTCCTGGGTCCACAGCCTCGGGATGTAAGTTTCTTTCTCCCCCCACCTTCTCAAAGGGAGCGGTAAGGAGAGAGAAGGGTCCACCCGCGTCCCGGGCCGGCCTCTGGCTGCATTCTGCTCCTCCCAGCAGCGCTGCCCACCCTCTCGAGGACAGCTGGGGACCCTAAACCACTACAGCCTGGGCCACCTCGCAGCCCCCGCCGTCCTCGGCTCCCCAGCCGGCAGGGGACACGTAGCAGCGCCGCCCCCTCGGTTCCCTCCCGAGCCCGGGCCGGGCCTGGCCCCCCACTCCGGCCAGCCAGGGTCCCCTCGCCTCGGTCTGCGCTCACCTGGCTCGCCTTGTAGAACTGCTTCTTCAGCCCCGCCACGGACATGCTGCCTCCCGCTTTCGGGGCTCCCGCCCGGACTGAGTAAAACGCAGGCCCCGCTCAAGCCACAGCCTTCCCCGAAGTCACCAGCCCCTCGCGTGCCTCAGCGGCCCCTATTGGCGCCGCCCGCACCACCCGCTGGCAAACTCCGCGCCCTCCCCGGCGCCGCCTCAGTCACTCGCGCGCCCGCGAGCTCAGGATATTACATGGCAACCGCACACTTCCGGTGCCGGCCCCTGCCGCGCGCGCGGCGCCCAACCCCGTCTTCTCGCGCGCGCCCCCTGTCGGTCGGAGAGCGCACGCCTACTTCGTCTCCTATGTGATGGTGAGACCTAGAGAGGCCGTGGAGGCTGTAGCGCACCCTAGAGTACCGGAGGTGGACTTAAAATTCCAGGAAACCCGTCTCGCTCCAGTTGGAAAAGTGATGGGGCCGCTTGCTCAGATTTATGATTCTCCAGAAATTTGCTTGCTCATCTCAACGAGAACCAATTCTTCTGTGTATTTAGTTCCCGCTCCCCACACTGTCCCATGTCCATCCATTCAGTTGCCCAAGCCACACCTCTGGGTCTTGCCTTGATGTAGATTCCACCAGTGTCCCTTCTGGTCTCCCAGCTTCACATTCTCCCTTCCAATTCATCCCCTACAAGGCAGTCGGAAAGATACTTTTAGAACACAATTCAGATCGCACCCATCTTCTGCTTAAAGTCCGCCTGCTGCACATCCGTTACTTTCTAAGCTTCCTAAACCTGATCAGTTTGGCTTTGTCAACTCTTTCGTTCTCTGCTCTCTTCAACTGCTATAAGGCCTTTTCCTGTGGGACTTCACTTACAGCTTTGAACTTTCCCCCAATCTTGCCTCCATCTTTTGTACATGAAAAGCACTCTGCTTCGAATGTCACCTCCACCAGGAAATCTCTTTAAATTGATGTGTTTATTGATAGGGATTTTTCTATCAACTGTTACTGATAAAATGTATTGAATGGCCAGGTGTAGCAATGCATGGCTATAATCCCAGCACTCAGGAGGCTAAGGCAGGAGGATCATAAGAAGTTTAAGGCCAACCTGGGGTAATGGTGAGTTTAAGGCCAGCCTAAACTACATAGCAAGACTCTGTCTTGAAAAACCAAAATAAACAAACAAAGCAAAATGGAAAAAAAGGTTTTGAATGAATAATGAGTTTGAATGAGTAAATGAATCCAAAAAGAGGAACAAGAAAATGATTACAACAAAGGTACTGAGAACTTCAGGCTTGAAATTGCTGACAGGTTTGTGTGAAAGCCAAAGATTTTTTTTTTTTTTTTGGAAACAGGGTCTCACTCTGCAGTTCAGGCTGGCCTTGAGCTCACTCTGTAGCCCAGGCTGGTCTCGAACTCACAACAATCCTCCTGCCTCAGCCTCCTGAGTGCTGGGATTACAGGCGTGTGCCACCACACGCCTGGCATGAAAGCCAAAGATTGCTAGAAACTTCAAAATGCATCAACAGAAGGAAGTGTACTACATCAAGGGATTGCTAAGAATACAAGAATACATACACCCCAAGATACTGATACAACCATTATGAATAGTTTGAAAAGGCTCCCGCATGTGATTCTGGTATGCTCAACTGTGTTTATAGAAGCCCAGTATGTCAGAGAAGGAAAACATCCTCATGGCTCAGACAGGGGAAGTGAGGTCTGCAGTAATGGTCTGATTTGCCCAAAGTGATGTCTCTTAATTTTCTATTTCTCAACACCTTCCTCAATCAATTTTACTGATTACCCAATCTACCTCAAAAGTATTCTAAACTTGGGCTAGATCCTAATTTTTTTTTCTCGTCACCTCCTCTTCTGAGATGTTACAATGGTGCTGAAGAAAACTTATTTTTTAGTTTTTTGTTTTTTGGGTGGGTCTCCCTATGAAGTTTTGGATGGCCTCAAACTCAAGGTGTTCCTCCTGTCTCAGACTCCCAAGAGTGTTGAGATTACAGGTGTGTGCCACCACATTCAGCCAGAAAACCTATTTTATTTTATTTTATTTTTTTGTTTTCAGAAAACCTATTTTAAAACTCACAATCTGACACTGAAGATCTCTGTTCTTTTGTGTGTGAACCTCTTTTTTTTTCAAGTGTGGAATGGAACTCAGGCCTTGGTACATGGCAGGGAAGCATTTCCCCACTGAGGTAAACACTTTGCTCTGTGTGAGGCTTTTAACTTGCATGATCTATATAGTCCAGTCAAACGATATTCATGCATTCACTTTGATGAGTACTTAAAATGTATCAGTCATGGGCAAATACTGGTGAGGCCAATATGAGCCACCTGGCAAGATCTTGTCTCAAAATAAAAAGGGCTGGGATGTAGTTCAGTGGGAAAACGCCTGTGGGTTCAATTCTAAGTATCACGAAATGAATTAACTGTTAGTTAATGAATAAAACTAATCAGTCAACACTAATAAACACAGCTGTCTTCAAGGAAAAGTGCTGCAAGCACTTGATCATCTTGCAGGTGGAGGAGAAAAAAGGTTCTTGAAAAAACAGAAAGATCTTAAAGTTAGTGGAAATCATGTAGGAAAATACTGCAAGGAGAGGAAGCAGTCATGTACAAAACGCTTGAGCATTAAAACAGAATCATCCGTTTCATTCATTCCCTCTAAATATATGTACTTGATGCCAAATGCTTCTAAAGCTCCACTCAGACACTATTTTATTATTCGTATAGAAAATAACATAATTTTTATTGTAGTCGTTCCATTTAACCAATGCTCAATTTAAGATAAACTCAAAACATCAGTCCTCCTCTTAACCGCAGTTTCCGGTTGTCAAGAGCACCTCTCGTGACGTCATTATGACCCACCCTCCTCCCACGATATTAGCCAATCGTAGTGCGTAGTTCTCAGTTTGACATCTACTGTACCCAATCGTAGAGCTTATCTCGCCAGCCAATGACAGGTCGCCGGAAAAGAGCCCCTCCTTTCCCCTACTCGCGGGAATATCAATGAGGGACTCAAGGTAGGAAAGGAAGCCACGGCTCTCGCGAGGAAGCTTCCGGCGCTCCTCTCTTCCCGAGGCGGGCCGTCACGTGATACGATCTCGCCCAATTAGCGTGCGGGCTGCGGGGGTCGCCGCGGTTCCCGCCAAATACGAGCGCGGCGGCCGCGGCAGCCTGGCGCGGGCGGGAGGGCGAGCAGCAGCGGCTGCCGGAGCTGAGCCCGCGCCTCCGCCGCCTCAGGGGACCTCGAGCTGCCGCCCGAGAAATGCTGGAAGAACCGGAGTGCGCGGCGCCGGGCGCCAGGGGAGCGGCCCCAGGTGGGTTGGGGCCTGCGCTGAGGGGAAGGGGCGACGCGGCCTGTGCGGGTCGGTGCGGCAGGGGTGGCGGTGGGCGCACATCTGGGCCCCCGGCCGGGCGATCAGTCCCCGGGGCCGCAGAGTTCCTATCCGGGGCCCTGCCGCCCGAAGAGCGCCCTCTTTGACGTTATTGTTGCAGCCGAGACCACGTATTTATATATGTGTGTTTCTCTTCCTTGGCGCTTTTGCATCAGTTCGTCTTTCCACGGACCCCTGGCGGGGAGAGACGGGTCCGTGGAGCCAAGAGGGGACACTGAGATGCGGGGAGGCAAAGGGCCAGCGTGGATACCCCTGGGTTCGTTTATACCCCCTGAGCAAGTTGGGCCTTGCAGCAACTGGGGAGACCGAGGCACAGGGAAACCGAAATTGCTGCTTGTTTGAGTCAGGGCGAGGCCAGGGAGGAGGTGTGCGTGGTGGGGATTGCCCAGGAGCTGGGACCCGCGAGTTCTCGCTGGTGTATGATGTATGAAGTGCTTTCTCCTCCCTGTTTCTTGGAAGGGATCTTTGTAGCACACAGCAGGCCTCCCAAAACGCGAGGCGGGGAACCAAGGAAACCCTGACTACCTGTCTCCCCTGCTTGACTCCACGTTGCATCCCCAGCTCCCGGCACCGGGTTTGGCAGGTACCAGAGGCCTGATAAACATGTGTTGGTTGGATAAATGAAGGTCTGGAAAGGAACATCAACTAGCCCAGTTCCTGGTTTCCCAATCTCAGCACTATTGATGTGTGAGGCTGTCCTGGCGCTGGAGGGTGCCGAACAGCATTCTGGTCTGCACCCATTCCGGGCTAGCAGAAACCCTTTCTCTACAGTTGTGACAACAAAAAATGACTCCCAGAAGTGACCAAGTGTCACCTAGGAGACAGGATCCGTCACACCCCCCCCACCCCCTTCAAGAACCACTGCTCCTTGGTTTGGGGAAATGACTCGGGGTGGAGCCCTTGCCTAGCATGTGTGAGGCCCTGGGTTCCATCCCAGTACCACACAGAACAGAGAGAGCCCTTGTACTATGTCACTGGGATTTCACAGAGACATACAGTTAATATAAATAAAATCAGGAGGACTGACTGTCATGGAACTGTGATTCTTTTTGCTTAACTAAATCAGAATTTTAGTTCTGAAAAAATTAAAAGCCAAACACTGCTCATTGCGACCATATTAGCATAAAGAGCAAGATGTTTTAATGCCAAGTATTATTAGAAAGGACGTAACCTCAGAATAAAGAGCAGTTGGTAATGCTATACATACACAAATGTTAGTGTACATGTACCTTTAAATGGTCTGAATACTTGGATGGGGTCCCATTTTTATATCAATTTAAGGTTGCTTCTGCGTACAAGTCATGTCTGTTACCCATACATCAAGGCTGGTTGCTCAGAGAAATATAAATCATGGTGGTCGTCTTGAAAATAGATTTTAGTGGGTAAAAAGTATATATTTTTCATTTGACGAGGGGAAAAAATCGTGATACCTTTTCTTATTTTCCAAGAATAACTGGGAGTTAGAAAGTAGTGGATAGTTTCAGCTATGGACAGCTGAGTGTTTTTTTTTTTTAGAAAACTCTGGTCTGATTTTCATGTAACTGTTACAAAATATATGTAGATTCCCAAAAATAAGTAAACTAGATCTTTCTAAACCAAATCTCCTAGCAGGTGTGAGCATCTGAAGTTAACCTATTTCAAGATATTTCTTGCTGGGCATGGTGGCGCACGCCTGTAATCCCAGTACTCGGGAGGCTGAGGCAGGAGGATCGTTGCGAGTTCGAGGCCAGCCTGGGCTACAAATTGAGCTCAAGGTCAGCCTGAACTGCGTAGCGAGACCCTGTCTCAAAAAAAAGACAAAAAAAAAAAAAAAATCAAGATATTTCTCCATGGCCTTTGTTCTATTTACAGTCAGTTCTGCATCAACTTTGTTATTAGATGATTTTCTCGATTTTTGTTTTGTTGTTTTTCTTGTTGTAGGGAGATAGTCTCTCTTATGTCTGGTCAGCACTTCAGCTCCTGCCTGACAAGCTTAAAGTGCCTTAAATTGTGTTCCCTTCACAAAATGAATCCTTTTCTAATTTTACGCCTTTGGTGGTGGTGAAAGAGGTTGGATTGGAAGGGGATGCTTCAAGTCACATTCATGGTAAAATAGATAATCCAATGTTTTCTTTCATCTCTACCTTTTCTCATACACATTTTTTCTGGTTGATCATCCATTGGCTTCCTGGTACATTTCAGACCCTGAGCTACGTGCTCAATATACAGTGTGAACAAGTCACTGCTATTAGAGAGCTGGCATTCTGTTTGGAGGGAAACATAATCACAAAAGTTTCAATTACAAAACTATTTTCACAAAGAAAATAAAACAAAGATATAACTAGGGCAGGATTTCAGCAATGTAGGCACTTTTGGGATCATATAATCCTTTATCGTGGGGGGCCTGACCAGGATGTTGCAGGATATTTAGTAGTAACACTGGCCTCTACCAGCCAGACTTGAGTAGCATCTCTTGGTCCCTCTGCCCCATCGTGGCAACAAAATATCCCTCTAGACATTGCCAGATGTCCCTGGCAGTGGGGGCAGAATCACCACCACTGGAGAATCACCTTGCACTGGCTTTATACATCTGCTGGCTTATTTCCAACACTTAGTAACATTTATTGATGTTTTATTGCAGCCATGGATTGCAAAGACAGACCAACCTTTCCAGGGAAGAAGCTGATACAAGGTAACACCAGACAGGGGTTAAATGGTTACCTCAGACCATCACCCCTCTGGAGGGGAGAAAAACAATTTATCCTTCTACAGTCCCTTGTTCAAAAGTATTTGGGACCAACAGTGTTAGAGATTTCAGACTTTTTCTTATTTTGGAGTATTTGCATATATGTGATGAGCTGTCTTGAGAGTGGGACCTATTATTTCATATATAGACATAGCCTGAAGGTAATATTATACAATATTTTGTTCACTTAATGTACATGCCAGGCAAACACTGTACCAGTGAGCCATATTTTAAAAGGTGGTATGCTTAAAGAGTTTCAGATTTTGGAGCTTTTCATTTTAGGGTTGTAACCCCTTCCGTTTTTTTTTTCTGGTGGTGATGGTACTGGGGCTTGAACCCAGGGCCTTTGCAATTAGTTTTGTTTTTTTTTTGTTTTGTTTTTTTTTTGTTTTGCAATTAGTTTTTTTAATTTTGAGACAAGCTATCCCTAAGTTGCCCAAGCTGGGCTCGAACTTGTGATTTTCCTGCCTCAGCCTCGAAGAGTGCTGGGGTAACAGGTGTTCATCACCATGACTGACTTTGGGAAACACTTTTCTGTACAGTATTGTTCCCTGGGGTTTCTAACATTAATCCAAAGGTCACCACTTCTAGAGTAGGGTCTCTAGCTCAGCTCGATGGATGTTTTGTGTCCTTTTTTTTGCCCTTCCAGGGTGCTGTCCTGAATCCTGCAGGAAATTTAGCAGCATCCCTGGCTTCTTCCCATTAGGGGCAAGTAGTGACACCCACAAAAATCTCTAAGGATTGTCTGCTATCCGTGGCTGGGGGACAGAGCTGCCCCATTTGTGAACTCTTGCTGTACAGGAAAACTAATGTGCCCAAATTTGCTTCATCTACCGACTTCATCTATAGTCCAGATTAGAGGCTGTATACTGTGAAAGACTGGTTTCCAGTTTTTTTTTTT